GGCCCAAAACCTGTCTTCTCCAACAGGGGCTGCAGAGAATAGCATCTAAAAACACAACTCCACTAAGGGAAATGAGGCAACCTCAAGAGGCTACACACTGTACGATTCCAACCACCTGCCTGGAAAAGCGAAAGTATGGAGACAATTAAAAGGCCAGTGGCTGCCCGAGGTCAGTGGGGAGAGAGGGAGGGAGCAACAGGCGGAGCACAGATGTTTTAGGGCAGTGAAACTATTCAGTACGACACTATAAAGGTGGATACATGACATCATACGTTTGTCCAAACCCACAGAATATACAACGGCAAGAGCGGACCCTAACGGAAACCGTGGACTTTGGGTAATAACCATGAGGCAGTGTAGGTTCGTCGATTATGACAAACGCATCATTCTGGTGGGGGACGCTGACAGTGGGGTGTCTGTGCACATGTGGGGGCAGGAAGCAGATTGGAAATCTCTGTACCTTTGGCTCAACTTTTTCTGTGAACTTAAAAATGTTCTAAAAAAATAGAGGCTTTAAAAAAAAAAAAAACCCGCACACAAGCCTAGATGACAGTTGAGGTCCCTTCCCCCACATTCGCTCTGATTCGACAGTTTCGACTTGCGCCGTGGAGGCTGCCGTGGAGGCTGCCGTGTGCTGCCCAGATCAGCCCCTTCAGGACAGCCAGCCCCTCCTCCAGCTGCGGGGCGCTAGTGGCCCAGAGCCGGCAGCTCGACCTCCCTGGGAACAGCCCGAAGTCCCACCCTTTCCCTGGGGTGGCCCATATCCAACGACTGGCCCATGTGTGATGTGAAGGTTGGTCTCCTTGACTCACTTTGGGACAAGTCCAAAGTCCATCCCAGCTTCCCTGTGGGATTGTCTGAGACCGCGGTCATGACCGCATTGCACCCCAACTCCTACCTCCACCCAGTCCTGCTTTCTTCCCTTTTCTCTCTGGTGTTCCCCGCAGTGAACACCCCCCCGTAAACCTCCTGTGTGCAAATCTCCACTCCTGGTTGGGAGTGGAGGTTTCCAGGGAATCTGACCTAAGACCACTTCGTTCTGTTTTTCTCTAAGAGGGGCCTAGAAATCATATAGAACCCCACAGAAGATACCACAGAGGCCACCTCTGAAACTCAGGCAGGCCACCTACCTTCTCTGGACCTCGACTGGTGACACCCACCTCCTAGCAACTTGGAAAATCGTGAAACTCAAATGAGACAAGTCCAGTTTGTGCATGTGCTGGTAAAATGGCAAGGTTTTTGGGGGTGAGGAGCCTGGGAGCGGGAGTCCCAGGACAAGAAGGGAGAGGACAGCCATAAGGGCTGCAGCCCTTGTCCAGATTGAAGGCCAGCTTGCCTGGCCTCTCCGGCTCCAGCCGGCCTTCCCTCTGCATGCCCCGACATTCCTAGCCACAGTCAATGACCTGGTAAGGAATCCAACAAGTTTTTCCTGGAAGAGAACCTGACCCGAGTGCTGGGGTTGGGGCGTTGGAGGGAGATGAGGATTTTGAGACTGCAGTTAGCAAAAACAGGCCCCAAGCTCCAGCCCCGACCAGCTCAATTTAACATAGCGCCAGCCCTCTGCTGGGTGCTAGGGACCCCGAGATCTGACCGGGGTCCAGCAATTAACAGGTGGTGTGAATGGGCATTGCCTGGAAGTTAAACACAAGGCAGCCTGGGCTTCCCTTCCACCACCCCAGTGGCTCTATTCCAGGAGGCTAGAGCTGGGCCCAGCAATCTGCATTTTTAAAGGAGCGCGTGTGCACACACACCCCTCATGTCCCCACCACCACGCTCTTGCCCTGCTGTGACTCTGAGAAATAAGATAGGCTTTATTTCCAAGGTAGTGTGGTTTCCACTTGCCAAGACGACATCACCTCTTAGCTTGTTTTAACACGAGGAAGTCAACGATTCTGCATCCCCCAAACCTTCCAGACCCTCCATTTCTGCAACCCTTCCCCTTCCCTGCAGCTGGAAACCCCAGAACCAGACTGGACACTTCCTCAATTCTTAATTTTTCCTTCCTAAAGTCTCTTAGCTGACCTCTGCTCCCAAGCCCTTGATCTAGTAGTCCTCAGACCCTCAACCTAGATTTTACAACAGCTTCCAGATCTTTCCTCCAATCCAGAGTCTCCCAAACTTATTCATCTGCTACTTTTATAAATTTTTTGCCATTTCTGCACACCCCGTGTTCTATGATTTACCTTACTATTTTCCCTAAATGAACTTTTAAAAGGAACTTAAATATATTTATTTTAAAAGCAGGCTTTCTGGAATTGAAAGCTGGGAAGCCAACAGATACTCAGACACCCATGCACCCAGCAGCATTACTCACAACAATGAAAAGCTGGAAACAACCCAAGTGTCCATCAACAGATGAATGGATAAACAAAGTGTTTATCCGTACATTGGAATATTACTCAGCCTTAAAAAGGAATTATATTCTGACACATGTCACAACATGGATGAACCTTGAGGACATTATGCTCAGTGAGAGAAGCCAGACACAAAAGGACAACTATTGTATGATTCCGCTTATATGAAATATACAGAATAGGTAAATGTATAGAGACAGAAAGTAGAATAGAAGTTTCTGGGGGCTGGGAGGAGGGAATAATGGGGAAGTTGTTTCTTAACGAGTGCAGGTTTCAATTTGGGATGAGGAAAGAGCCGCGGAGATGGACGGAAGTGGTGGCTGCACATTTCGAATGCACTTAATGCCACCGAGTTTACTCTTGAAAGTGGTTAAAATGGTAACGTTGATGTTATATATATTTTACCATGATTTTATAAAAAGAAAACTTTTTTCCACTGGGAAAAAACCTGACAGTATCACTTACCGTTGAGAACAAAAACAATGTTACCAAAATAATGCCAACTTCCCTACTGCTTTGTTAAAAAGAAACATTAGCAAGCCTTAGAGCACTGTTAAAGATGCCTACCTACAAAATCAGAGATTTTTCTCCTTAAGGAAAGAAGGATTGAAAGAACCTCAAAAGTATCCATGTCTTCCCCGTGAGAACCAGCATCAAGTAGGGCTTGTTTATGAACTGTTTTTGGACCAGGAGTCGCTTGTGTCCCAGTCTTTGGAAACAAAGGCTTCTGCCCACGATTTCCTCTCAGATCTTCCTAAACAATCCCTTTAGAATCTATAAAAACTACTCCCGATGCACGCATATTCTTGGGTGGTTTTCCAAAATGCTTCTGTGGGTGGCACACAATCCTGAAGACAGCTCTCATCTTTTACCCATTTTACAGCGGGGCCCCAGGGACAGGAAGTCACTTGTCAGTCAAGGTGACTGAAGGCCAGTCTGAAGCCCAAGTAGAGAAGCTTCCCCCATCCCTCCTGCCACTTCTCTGATTGCCCGGGACGGACCCAGGGCCATGGGAAAGCATCCTTGTGTTCATTTCCTGACTCTACTCTCCTCAAGGTACCAGGTGCTGAGATCTCAAACACGAAACCAAGCCGCAGCCACCAAGCAGACAGGTCTCCCTCTGACTACCCAGGACCTGCCTGCATTTGTGGAGGCTCACACCCGCTCTGTCTCAGGCGCTGGACTGAGCTCTCAGGGACGAGGGTTTGAACCTGACTCTGCCAACTGCTTGCTATGTGGCTTCGGGCAAAACCAAACCAAACCACAAAATCTCTCTGGGACTCAGTTTCCATGGAAGTTTCGTAACATGCAGAGAGTAAAGGGATTAGACCACATCAGGCCTCTCAAAGCCTTAGTGCCTCGCAGGACCTTTGGACCACTAACATCAGAGTCACCTGGGAAAGATAGGTCACTTACCCTAGAGGTTCCAAGCCCCGCCCCAGGCCTTGCTAATGGAGTCTGGGGGCGGGCCTGTGAGCCCGTACACTGGACAGTCTCCCGGCTCAGCCCCACGTGCAGGAAGCCGGAGACCTCCTGGCTCGGTCATCTCTGAGGACCCTTCCACCTCACATTCTGAGACCCTTGGAAACCAGGTCCTCACCTAAGGCAGCCTGGGGTTTGGCAGGTGACGATTTGCTGGGTCTTCTTCCCACCACCCTTTGGCTCCACCCAGCTCAACTGGCGGGAGCACCGATTTCCCTAATCTGATTGGGGAGGAGTATTTGTTTATTTTTTTCCTTTGTTATGGGTGGCATAGATGAAACACTTCCTGCCAAGTTTAGGAACTCCTGGCTATGGTTGGGGGTGGGGAGCTGTGGATTCTTAGGCTGTGCCAGCCCTCCTGTGCCACCTGGGGTGGGAAGAGGGGCTATGGCAGTCAGGAGGATTGCAGGGTTTAAGAATTCCAGACAAAGCTCAGCACGCTGGCTCCAGTTCTGTCTTGAACCCCGGGGAGACATCCCCCACTTTAGGCGTCCTTTAGTGTCTCTCCTTAGAAAGCGTGGCTCAGGACCCCAAAGCCAGGTAGAGATGCCAGATCAAGGACAGTCCTGTCCCTGGGACCCATCCCCACCCCAGATGGTCAAAGAGAGGTGAGGATTTTTCTCCAGTCTCACGCAGGGACCCCACCTGGAGAGCCCAGTACCCAGACTCCGAGTCGCAGCGGGATTATGACCCAGCACAGAAACTGAGGCTCAGAGGAGGGCGGCCGTGGTCCCAGGTCCCCCGTACGAGAAGGGCCGTGTTCCCGCCCGGGCGCCGCGGCACACCTCTGCCGAATCCAGCGCGCGCGGCGTCTGCCAAGGGCTGGCCCCGGGAGTGCGTCGGCTTGGCGCGCTCCTGTCCGCGTCCCAGTCTGCGTCCCAGGCTCTCCGCAGACGCTCCCGCCGGCTTTCCCCCGCCGCCTCCGCCCCCTCGCCCCGGCGCTCTGGGCGCAGCAAGCCGAGCTCCCAGTTCCCGGCTCCCGGGTCCTGCGTGGAGTCGTTCCAGGACTGCTGGAAACGAGAAGTTTCCCAGATCTACGTTGTGCACATTCCTTTCCCCCTCCTCCCAGCCTTGCTGTGTGACCTAGGGCAAATAGCTGCCAGTCTCTGAGCCTTGAATCCCAGCCTGACTTTAGGGACTGCAGAGGGGACTTTAGTTACCTACCGCTGTTCCTCAGGCTCCTGCGCGCCGCCGGTGGCCTCTGCCTCCCGCCAGCTCTGGAGCCCGAGCGAGCCTGGGGCGGCCGTCCCCTAGCCATCCCACCCCTCCCGCCCCACCCCGCTCCCGCCGCTCTTTTTCCCTTTCACTTTCACTCTGCACCACTGGGCTTGGCCCAAGCGGGGGAGCAAGCTAGCAGCTACTGTGCCCACCACGTGTTTTCCCAGAAGTATCCCTGTGACACCCAACACCTCTGGGTCCTCCAAGAGGTCTCTTTTTTTAGCCAGCGCCTCACAGTGACCAACCCTGCCTCTGGGGAGGGTTTGAGGCCAGGAACCCAGGCGACCTGGGCAAGCTCATCCCCACCCCCTGCGTGGCCCTCTGTTTTTCTCGAGCTCAGCCAACCTCGAAAGTTACAAACCACCCCTGCAGCGCACTTGGCCCCTAGACCAGCTGTCTGAGCCCCTCTCTCCTCTGATGCAAGCCCTTGGGAGGAAGAGAGACTCCCTCGGGGTCCGTCACTGAATGGAAACCCAGCTTTGGTAAGCTGGTGTGCCCATCATCACACCCCCAGGTGGCAACAGTTCCTTCCTTCCTTCGCAGAGGTCCTGATCCCCTGCTCTGCCCAGGGCATGAGACTTTGAGGAAGTCATTTCCCCTTCCCAAGCCTGGATTTCCCCATCTGGAATTGAGGAAGTCAATTGCAGATGGGCCAAAGTTACCTCTGACTTCTCTCTCGCCCTCAACAACCTACGGCTGCAGCCAACAGAGCTGGCTACCCTGTCATCAGCCCCTGGGCTCAGAGCCAGCTGAACATTGCAGGGGAGTGTCACAAAAGGGTTCTCACCTTTTGAACCGCACAGTAACAGCAACACCAAGAACAGTAGGCTCCTATGATAGTATTTGGTTGCTGCAACGTACGGGGCACCGTCCTAGACAAGGGCATACCACACCGGGCCAACAGTCAGCTGCAAGCCAAACCTGCGATGCTGCCTTCCGAGCTGGGGCTAATATATCCGTGCTATGGTCTTCACACCAGCTGTCCCCTGTCCCCTGCCCCACTTCTTAAAGAACACCATTTGGAAACCGAGGAGAGGGCAGCATCTGCCCAGGTGACCAGCTCTCGCCAGCTGCCAGGGGCTCAACACCTACACCTGGGGCTGACTCCAGTTTTGGTTTCCCTGCTTCCCCCAGGATGGGGTGGGGTCTGGCAGAGGTCCCACCTTGTGTAAGCCCCCCTCAATATTTACCCAAAGCCAGACCTGGCAGTGAGAGGACCTTGTGGTCTGCTGAGCAGGGCCAGCACGCTGAGAGCTAATGACACGCCCCCTGAAAGTCTGACTTCTAGAACTCTTCAGCGCTGATAAAGCCCTCTCACATTCCAGGCACCTGGCTGACCTGAATTTTCCTCCGGCGGAAGGAAATAAACAACTGCTTCACATCTTCCGACAGCCTGCCCCAGCAAGGACACAGAGCTCTCTTCCCACCCCTAGCTCCCCAATTCAGAGTGGTGTCCCTGTTTTTCTGAGATGGCAGAGCCAGCCAAGACCTCACTCGAAATGAAGATGCATTTTCAGCCTTTTTACCTTGGGGCTCTGACAGGTAGGACCCAGCAGGGCGTGGAGCCAGGCAACGCATGGTGTAGGAAGTGCAGCCAGGCCAGCAGCTCCTGGAGCCCTCAGCCTTCCCAAGGATGCCGTCCAGTCTCTTCGGATGCTCAGCTCAGAAGCAGGCGGCCTCATCACTAGCCTGTCTCCCTCCACCGCGGGAAGCCCGCCTATCAAAGCCAGCATGCAAAGGAAGCAAGCAAGGGACCGGCAGAAAACTCTTCCTGCAAGGTGGCCCCAAGCTGTCAGATGTCTTACATCTGAACGCCCTCTAATTTACCCACACTCCCTTAAACCCCTCCCAGTGCCTCTGATGTTAATTTCAGTTCCTTACTGTGGACCACGTGTGGCCAGCACAGAAAGTTGCCAGTTGTCTGTTTGGGGGACCTTCAACACTCTGACATTCTGAGGTGACAGCCGCAATGGAACCACACGGGTGGCAGCTGCAAATATCTGCTATCCTCTGCAGGATGGGGCCATTACAGAGC